TTGTTGCAAGTGATAAAGTTGGATGGCACAAATCAACCCATCTTTCGAAAGAAAGACAGACCCCAAAGATAATTCTAAATTGTTCGAGGGTAAGTGGATGGGTTGTCTATCTAATCCAGTTGTTGTGGGCGGCATAGGAAGGGACCACATTCGTTGCTCAACGTCTGATTGTCGTGTGCTACCTGGATTCATATATACAAGACTTTCAGCCTCAATATGGTCGGTAATTAATCTTAGCTCTTCAATATGCTCGCAATACCACGCCCTGAAAAGCTTGAACATTTGCTTCTTATTGACCTCTTGGTCATCATTATTGTCACGGTCACGAGAATGACCTGGTTGGTTCGAACAACCCGCCGTTTGATCATCAGCGCCCCGAGGATATCCAGTATGTATAAATGAACTAGGGCCAGCTTGATATGAATATGAGGCCTCGTGGGAAAATGCAGAACTACCAACACCAAAAGAACTAGGAAATACACCTTGGGACGCCATCATTTGCGTTAAGCTTTGTTGCGCCGTCTCCAGAATCCCTACATTTACTCGCTTCTCTAACTCCAGGTAAATGTTGAGATTCCTTGTACTTCAATCAGCTCTAAGATATCGTCATTAGATTTGATTTTCATCTTCACAGCTCGTTCCTTTCCATCAAATACTGTCCACAATATGTACTCAAAATTACAAGGATTGGCCTTTAATAATGCTTGAGCACGAGAAACTACTTCAGAATACATTTGTCTGCCGTAATTCATTCTCATCAGCTCTGCCACTCCACCAAGATATGAACCCTCCGAAAATGAACCACCATAGTGCAAGAGTACTTTAAGACGGTTGCTAGCCATTCAAATAAGTGAACAACAAAAAGAATTAAAACGAAAGAAACAGAAAAATGCAGTAGATGAATGGTGCAGAGTGCAAACGTTAAATTGTTAGAGATCACTGTTTTTTTGCCTGCATGATAAATGCAGAGACAAAATCCTCGCCTGTAAAAAAGCAGTCAATTAATGAGGTGCGTAACTTATGCGACAGATATGCGAACAAATTCCGAATAGTCGTAAAATTGCAAGGTCGATATGGCCCTGCAAAAAAATGGCGCATAATCGTCAAATAAATTATGCTTTATTCGATTTGGTTATGCGATTCTTAAATATGCGGGCAAAAAAGTGTCGCATATTTATCAATTATCCGGCATTATACTGGATATATGCGAAAGTTTTTCGCATATTAGTAAATTATGCGATTGACTAGGATATGCAATTACTAAAAAATGCGAAGTCAACAAATTATGCGAATTATATGCGAAAAAGTTTCGCATAGTCATAAATTTGCAAGGTCGATATAGCCCGGCGAAAAGAAGGCGCATAATCATCGTAAATTATGCTGCATTCGATTGGATATGCGATTCTTAAAAATGCGAAATATTTTCGCATATTTGTAATTATGCGTTTGATTTGAATATGCGATCCCTAAATATGCCAAATATTTTTGCATAGTCATAAATTATGCGTCTGGTTGGATATGCGCTGGTTCATTTGGACATGCGAGTGTAATATCGCATAACATTTCGTGACTTTTGGGGTGTAAAAGAAGTTATTTGACGGGGCGGTGTGTAAAAGAAAGAATAGAAATATAACGGGGTGAAAAAGATTTTGACCCTTATTACAATCATTGAATTATAACAAATATTGTTATTATTATGTATTTTTTATATTGACTATTAATTAATTTTTAATGTTAAGTGTTTCATTCCCAAATTATCTACGTTCGTTTCAATATAATTCCATAACTCGCATACAAAATTGCATATTGGAGCAGTTTACTGCCTTTAATTGATCTTACAAAGAACAATGATGAAAATGCCTTGTCATCGTTGTTAAACAACGTTAGCAACAGTAATTCTAAATTTATTATCAAAATGTCTAATTTCTTTTTGCGGTAGCAAATGTATTTTTTTAATCATATATATTTAAATGTTTTTTTTCGCTTATTGTTTTATAATAACAGTAATTTTTTTTTTTTTCAGCTCCATCATTAAACTTGCCGCGTCGAAAAAACATCGGCGGTCGTCCCAGGCTTGCATTACCTCTCCTCACAAATAGTAACTCTGAATTCTTTATCATTTTTGTCTAATTTATCTTTTTGGTAGTTAAAATAATTGTTAATTTTAATTTTTCTATATTTAAAAGATATTTTTTTGTTATTTTTTTAATAATAGTTTTATTTTATACAGTTTCATCATTAAATTTAACTCCTCAAAAAAACGTAGTTGGGCGTCCTAGGCATCTATTACTATTATTTAAATTTTTTATTATTTTTTCCTCTATCATATTGTTTTCGTGCAAATACACGGGGTGATACTAGTTATACATAAAACTTGGTATATTTTGGAGATTAACAACTTAAAAAAATGTACGTCTATTAATTTTAGATATATTGTTAAATTTTTCTTTTCCAAATTTGCGAATTGCAAGCGTGGGGGTCTCCAACGCTCATGTAATTGTTTTCTCTAATTTTTTTCCGAAGTCCAATTAATTACTCTTCAAAATCTTGCACGAGCCCATCAATTATTTTCTTGTTCAGCTCTAAAGCACGTAGCTTTTTAAACGTCGGTACCGTTAAGCTGTCAAATTTGGCTGCAACTCAAAAGGATAATTAATTACTTCTATTATTAAACTTGAAAGTTCTTTGTACTTCTTCTTTGTTTTCATTACATTAATTGCCTTCACTAAACGCTTATGTAGCCTTAAACCTCACTGTCAGATGCCTCCCAAGGTACCCATCAACCTCCCACCCCACCTGAACATCAGTTTCATAAAAAAGTACCTGAATTCAGGAGATTTGCCGCGTGCTCGCCAACTGTTTGATAAAATTTCTGAACCAGATGTGCAGTCGTGGACATTGTTGATCTCGGCATACACAAGGATCGGCCGGTCCAAAGAAGCTGTAAAACTGTACAGAGAAGTTAAAGACGGCCGAAAGATTGAACCGGACAAGTTTGCAGTTTTAGCGGCCGCTAAGGCTTGTGCAGCCTCAGGTGATTTGGTAAACGCAAAAGAAGTTCATGGTGATGCCTTAAAGTACGGGCTCAGTTCGGATTTGCTTATTGGGAATGCGTTGATCGATATGTACGGGAAATGCAGGTATTTTCATGGTGCAGAGAGTGTTTTCAGCAATTTAAGGATAAAGGATGTGGTTACTTGGACATCGTTTTGTGCATGTCATGTGAAATGTGGGCTTCCAAGAGAGGCCCTTTCGGCTTTTCGGGAGATGGGTCTGAGTGGAATTAAGCCGAATGCGATGACACTGTCTTCCATACTCCCTGCTTGCTCGAATTTGAAATGTTTAAATTCGGGCAGAGAAATTCACGGTTTTGGTATCAAGAACGGGGTGGGTGAAAACGTATTTGTGAATAGTGCGCTTGTCGATATGTATTCTAGTTGCTCGAGCATTAAACAAGCCGAGCTAGTGTTTTGTAACATTTCATGTCCTGATGTCGCGTTGTGGAATGTGATTATATCGGCTTATTTTACGAACGGTGATTGCATGAGGGCACTCGATAAATTTCAAGAAATGAGAAATCTTGGAGTCCAATTGGACACTGTTACATGGAATTCAGTGATTTCTGGGTGTGCCGATAATGGAAAAGCGCAAGAGGCACTAGATTTATTTAAAAACATGCTGTGGCAAGGGTGCAAACCTAATCAAATCACGATTACGAGTCTGTTAACTGCTTGTACTTCTTTGGAACTTTGGAATGGAGGAAAGGAGATTCATGCTTATATCGTCAGGCATCGGTTTTTAGAGGATTTGACTGCTTGTACAGCTTTAATTTTGATATATGCCAAGAGTGGCGACCTCGAAATGTCGAACCGGATTTTCCATATGATGCCAGCAAAAGATACAATTGCATGGAACACGATTATTATTGCAAACTCGATGCACGGAAAGGGAAAGAAGGCTTTATCTCTTTTTTACGAGATGGTGAGATCGGGTGCGAAACCGAATTCTGTTACATTCACGGGCGTTTTATCCGGTTGTAGCCACTCGCAGATGGTTGACGAGGGGCTCTCGATTTTTCATTCGATGGAAAACGATCATAAAGTGAAACCCGATGCAGAGCATTATTCGTGTATGGTCGATGTTCTTGGCCGCGGGGGCCGTTTGGCGGAGGCTTGCGATTTTATTCAGCAGATGCCTATGGAACCGAGTGCTGCTGCATGGGGGGCTTTGCTTGGGGCGTGTCGGGTGCACAAGAACGTGGATTTAGGTCGAATCGCGGCAAATCGGCTGTTCGAGATCGAACCTGAAAATCCGGGAAATTATGTTTTGCTCTTTAACATTCTTGTTGGGGCGAAGCTTTGGGAAGAAGCCTCGTATGCTAGGAAATTGATGAGAGACAGAGGGATTAGGAAAATACCCGGTTGCAGTTGGGTCCGGGTGAAAAATAGAGTGTTTACGTTTGTTGTTGGTGATAAAATTAATGAAATGAGTGCCGAAATGTATAAGTTCCTGGATGACGTGCGAGCGAAGATGAAATTAGACGGATATTACCCTAATACGGAATTTGTTCTGCAAGATTTGGATGGGGAGGAGCAAGAGTACAGCCTTTGCAATCATAGTGAGAAGTTGGCCGTAGCTTTTGGGGTACTCAATTTGAGAGGCGAGTCGTCCATTAGGGTTTTCAAGAACTTGAGGATATGCGGTGATTGCCACAACACGATTAAGTTTGTGGCGAAATACGTAGGCGTAGAGATCATTGTTAGAGATTCTTTGAGGTTCCACCATTTTGCAGATGGGTCATGTTCTTGTGGAGATTTTTGGTGACTTAGTGAGATTCTCTCTGTGAGTATTGGCTCGACTTATGTTAGTATCAACCGAGTTGCCTATGCTTTTTTATGAAAGATTGATTTTTGACGTGTTCTCTCTTTCAATCTGTTCTCGGTGCAAAGTCCAAGTTCATCTAATAATCATTAGAGAGGAATACATCCCATGCGAAGGTACGAAGATGCATTTGTTATATAGCAAGTGACTTCAATCTCTGTTTATCAATTACCTGGTTTGTCTTAATACAATGGCTAATGCCTTCTAAACTCATTTCACTGTTTTTTTATGTTTTTTTACCTTATACTGTTATTGTTCCCCATCTCAATATAATTATCGACTGTTTTGCAACAGAGTAGCAGCAATAGCAGTAGCAGTAGCAGTCATCCACTCCTGAACGTGCAGCAAGTCTTTCTTCACCAAGCATGTTCAAAACCAACAACACGAATATTAGAAAAAAAAAACAAGCACACACTAATAAATATACAAACGTAGGATTCACAACAGTTATTCTCAATTTCAATCCTTCCCCAATTACACGACTCAGAAAACAACCAAGAAAATACCAGTACATAACAACACATGACATCATCACCCACACCTTACGAGTCGAGCTGCGCATACCAAATACCCTGGATCTTAACATCCTTAGGTGCCTTTGACCCCAAATCAGTATCTGAAGGCTGCACGCTCTCAAACACCCCAATCACCTCCCCAGTCTCCGGCTTACTCTTGGTCACGCTCAACGTAATCTTCCCAGTCGAAGATGCCACATTCTTGTTATTCTCCTTCTCGAGCTCCTCTTCGTCTCCCCTCCCGCCAGCTGGCAACGCCACCGCGTTATCATACCCAGTTGACCCCCCCCTTCCCTTGGGGTCCAAGAAAGACGAGCCACGGTAAGAAGGGACCAAAAACTCCCCACTGAAATTGTCGGGTTTTCCAGAGGCAACGAGCTGCTTTATGGTGAATAAAAAGGGGACTCTTTCCCCTCCGGGAAGTTGAACCGTGACTGCCGCATAATCGATTCCGTCTTTCTCCTCGAACTTGATGGTCCCGTCTGGCGAGACTTCGAACGGGCCCTCGATCTCGTCGAGAGTGTAGGTGAGTCGGGTCATGAGCTTGGTTTTTTGGAACTCGGGAGGGGAGTTCTTGCTCACGCTCTCGGCCTTGACGGTGAAGGAAGTGGGCTCGAGGCAGAATTTCTTGGCGTCGTATTTGCCGGGCTTGAAGGCGAAGGATTCGACTCCACCGTCGATCGTGGGGCATTGGTTGGCTGTGCCGGTGCCCTTGACCTCGAGGTACGTTTTGCTCTGTATCTCGTCGAAGGTTAGCCGTTTGGGGACTGCCTCAGCGTTGGCTCCCTGCGAAAGGCGAGTTTAGTGAGAGTGGTTTGAAATTGGGATTTTTTTTTTTTTTTCTTTTTTGGGAATATGTTGTGCACAACTTGAATGTTTCACAAGGTTTGAAAAAGCACTTTCTTTGGTTAGGTGAACATATAAGTTATACTTGAATCTTGAATAAAAAGAATGTCTATGTTAAAGAGTTTTTTGCTCAATCTTGCCAGCATCACAATTCACAAGTCTTGTATGTTTTTTGGGACTATTGGTGAGGTGAGCAGTAAAGTTTTTCTTTTTATTCAGTTTTTTGATCAAATGGTGCTGGTATCATGCAATTCAGTCATCACAGATGGCACTGATCAGCTTATTACTGCTTATTCAATCAAGAAAACCTTCCCTCTTAACTCGGACAGTTACAGTTGTACTCTTTGATTTAAGATCAATTTATTTGTTGTAGCTTTGAAAATGCAATAATAATAATCAAAACTACTATTAAGATCAAGAATCTCTAGCCAGCACTCCAACTCATTAACTAATTATATGACAGAATTTTTATATAAAAAAAAACATAAAAAAACGTTTAATACCGAGAAGACAAGTGCTGACGTGGCAAGAGCGAAGCCAGCAATCTTAGCAGCATCAGTGAACTTGTGGGCCAACTCCCTGACATCAGTCTGAAGCGAGCACGACACCTTGCTGGCGCTGGCCGGCTCGAAGCCGAACGATTTGCCGACTGGTCGGAGATGGAGGCTGCTTCTGGTGGAGCCGCCGAACTTGGCCGGCTGCATGAGTGTTGCAGCTGCTTGTAATGAGGACGCCATGATTATTTTATTATTTTATTTTCCTTTTTTCTTGATCACTAAACTGGGTCTAAATCCTTTTGCTTCTTCTTATTACAAAAGTATAGTGTGGTGAATGTGTTGAGATAGATAATGTTGGTGGTGTTGGTGCGAGTAAGATAAGAGATAGGATAAGGTGTTATTTCATTGGTTCTGTAGCCCGCCACGTGGCGATTGTGGTGTTTAGGATGAAGATACTCTCTACTCGGCTTCTGCTGTGAGCACATTAGTTTTTACTAGTAACTAGTAAAGAGAGAGAGAGAGATAAAAGTGAAATATCCATGCCAAAGATGGCATTATAAAATTTCTGGGTTTTGGAAATTGCTTATCATATGTTTTATGGCCGAAATTTAAATCTCATAATGAGAATAATAACATTTCTTCGGGCAAAAAAAAATCCTTTCTTGTAGCAAGTAACCTAAACTATTCATGGTTAGGTTACATTATAACACCGTCATTACACGAAAATAAGAGGCCAAACACATGAACTCACTTCCATTATCACTACGAACAACACGCACAAATTTATCAAATTGTCACCTAATCATAGAAAAAAAAAATCAGCAATGTGAAAGCGACCTCCGTCTTATCATTCAATAAATAAACCCATGTCCTACTAGAATAATCATCCACAATAGTCAAAAAATATCGTGCACCACAGAAGGACGAAACACAATACAGGCCCCACAAATCACAGTGAATCAAATGAAAAGTCTCATGACTAATAGTCTGACTGAGAGGAAAACTACGACGATGTTGTTTAGCACGAAACAAACATCACATGATTTATGAAGATTATGAGAACTAGAATCAATAACAGGAACCTGAGACAATACTTGAGCAGACGGATGACTTAAATGTTGATGCCACACATCGGCAGAAACCTTCCGAACACAAGAAACTGCCATAGAAACCGTCCCTCGAAAGAAGTAGAGATCCCCCAACTGCTTACCTGTGCCATTCACCTTTCGCGAAGTGCGGTCTTGAATAACACAAAATTTGTTAGTAAAATGAGCGGTGCAGTCGGAACGATCTAGCAATTAATATAATAAAATCAAGCTGCACCAAAGACTGGAAACGCATAAAACATCATAAAGAATGATATGAGATCCCAAATAAATAGTCCCAGCCTTGTTAGCCATAGTCAAAAAACCATTAGACAATTGAACAGGACGGGCGGGAATATACCGAACATCAGAAACAAAAATTATCAGCTTCAAATTTTTCATTCAAAATTTATATTGTTAAATTTGTGGGAAAAAACAGAGATAAATAAAGTGTAACTTTTTATTGAAAAAAATAAAAAAACATACTTTTTAAGCCCATTCAGTCCTCGTCTCTATCAATTAAACCTGGCGGCTTCCTAGTTCATTTGCTAAATTAAGCAATTACAATAAAGATCTCAAGGTCATATGATCATACCATGCCACAACAGACTGAATTACCACAAGGTCATAACACTAAAAAAACGGCATAACAGATGCAATAAACAGGTCATATGCAGCATACAGATTGCATGCATTTTATTACACACCGATCAGATAAACATCTTTTAGTCACATTTGGATATAAACTTAATTAATTTTGGCATTCTCCACACTTTTGCGCATAAGTGATATAACATGAGCAGGATTGGGAGCTCCAAATACAGAACTTCCCGCCACAATGCAATTTGCACCAGCATCTGCTGCCATATCTATAGTCGAAGGTCCTAAACCACCGTCAACCTGCAAACAGCACAAACTCTCCTCACTGAACGGCTGAATCTTTATGTATGTTTCAACATTTTTTTTTTCTTGGGATGCAAAGTTCAACACATTTTCAGATTTTTCTTGTATAAAAAAGAATTTTGGGAAAAATTTTGTGAAAGCATGTTAATCATTTGCTAGAAAAATCTATTTCACAGAAGAAAAAGAAATAAGAAGAAATGAGTAATGCAAAGTGTAAGAATACTCGGAAATTATCAGCAGATGGAAAGTCACCCACCTCTATGTCAAGTGAAGGGTACTTCTTTCTTAGCGTACGCACCTGAAATTCACAATCATTATTATATGAAAAAAAAAAACAGATTATATGAAAAAGTAACATGTGAGTGTGAATGATGAATAAAAGCTGGACCCAAAAAAAAAAGAAAGAAAAAATGGTTTATGCCACCTTATCCATCATTTCGGGCATAAACTTTTGCCCACCAAATCCAGGTTCCACGGTCATAACAAGTACCATTTCCACAGAATTTTCGTCGTCAATCTATGAATATGGACAAGAGATTAAGGGAGGAAATTACATTTAACAATAATATTTAATATCCCATTGGGTTCATATTATTGAGAATATTGTACCAGTGGGTACACTTCTTCAATAGGGGTTCCGGGCTTCAAGGAAACACCAGGCTTCATACCCTTTGATTTGATTCGTTGCACAAGCTCTCGCCAATTATCTGACGGGAAGGAACTTATTTCATCTCATATTTAACAAACTTTAGGTAACATTCAATTTCAATAGCCAATCGTCCCCAAAATAAATTTTGTGAAGATTTGCATTTTTTTTTTTTCTCTTGAAAGAGTATGGATGGAAAACAGAACTCCACCTTTTGAGGCTTCCACATGAAAAGTAAAACCAGAAGCACCAGCTTTTCCTAATGGCTCGACGTAATCTATAGGATTTGTGACCATTAGGTGGCAATCTAAGTAAGCACTGCAAAAAGATAATGCTCATAATTCACTAAAATGAAGTTATCATTCAAGATTATATCCTATCAAAGAATGAAGTGTTTTACTCTGTGTGCTTTCTCAGGCTCTCAATAACTGGAGCACCAATTGTGAGGTTTGGCACAAAATGACTGTAAAAAATACGAAATAAACATCAGCAAATGCCAAAATAATATTAATTTTGCATTTCCTTACATCTTAAGTATTTTCCATGCTTGATATCAGATAATGACATACCCATCCTGCAATTAAACCGAAAAGGTTAAAAGTTTTATGCCAAAAATCTGTGTGCATGAAAAATTGATTCGTACAGAATGACAACTCCAGCAAAGAAAAACCATATTATATCGATCTGTGAGTCGCAAGAACATAAAATATTATCATGATCATGAAAACATGGGGAGGCAGCAAGCAAAATAGCCTTCGTTTTTCACATTTTATCTCATAATATTCACAAAAAATAAAGATAATCCCTTCAATTTTCTGAAAAGTAATACATTTCCTGGTCACACGGAAGAAAAAACAAAAGAGCTGTACACATCTAGAAATTAACAATTCATCCACAACAAATTAAAGATGAAGAAAATGTTATTGTATAAGAAAAACAAAATGTTATTTTCTGAAAAGTAGTACGTTTAAGAAATAGAATATTATACATTAAAATTATCACAAAACCTATGGACAGTAAACAACTTGTATGTCCTAATACTAGAAATTCGGCTAAAGATCAATCATTACTACTTTGCAGTCAATCAAACCTAAACAACACATCTACTTTAATTGAGTCTTTTGCTCATCTCAATTCATGCTGAATCCAGAAAACATAAATTAAAAATTTACCATAATATCCATGTGCAGCCAATCTGCACCGCATCGGACCATCCGCTCGGCCTCCGATGCCAAATTTGCGAAGTCCGATGACAACATCGAAGGCGCAATTTTCGGCTTCACCATTATCACTACAAACAAATAAAAAATCAAAACTGAAGATTCATACAAATTATACACAATCCTTAGCCGATGACATAAAATTCTTAGCCTCTCTAATCCGCAAAAAAATAAATAAATAAATAAATAAATAAATATATATCACAAGGAATTTTGGATTTAATAGGAACTTACCTCTTCGGAGCTTCGATGGTGACACTAAATTCGCCGTTAAAGATTCGGGTTGTTGTCTGCCGGCCGGAGATGGACAGTTGACTGAGCCCGCAGGATAGAGGATAATGCTTAAAAACAATTTACCTACTTAAAAAGTATCATTAGAAAAGATTTATAATAAATCAACTAATATTTCTTTAACAAACAATTTTAAAACAAATAAAGAATATATATTTGTTGGCATGCCAGTGCCACGAAATTGAAAGAATAAAAGACACTCAAACTACCAAACTAATATTCATAATTGAAGAATACTATAAACAATTAAACTATATTTAATAAATAACTATTTCTATATAAATTATTTATTAATCTATATTTACTAAAATTGACTCGTTCTCGAATGCAGAACCGAGTTCCAATGGTGACGGCTCGAACGTTTAGCTTTTACATGATAATTTGCGATAACCAACGGCTACCACCAGACTATTAGATTTGACTAGTTGAATTGTTGAAAACTTTGGATTACCAAACATTTCTATTATCACATCATAAACTTGTATCCCACCAATGTATAAGCATATTTATCTTTATATTAATTAAGTAACTACTAAAATACTGTGTATTACAACAACATATAAGATGGTATCCTAATTAGTACATGTTCGTTTTTTTCAGTTTCTCACCCAACAATCTCAGAACAAGAAAATAAATCATGAATTCACAACAGCAATACACAAATGAAGTACACTTCACATAATCCAAAATCCAAATTTCCAATACCCATTCACCATGAAGGCATTCAGAAGTAGGTGGTTGATATACCAATCAATAAAAGTTCAGATGAACTATCTAGCATCTCTCAATTAAATGTTTATCAATCTTTATCAATAAAGTAAGTCACAGTGATACTTTTTTCAGTAGGTATTCATACTTTCAAACTGAAAAAAAAAATAAAAAAATGACAATATGTGTTTTTGTTAAAAAATCTGTGAAACGATTAAGCTACAATAATTTGTGATAATAAAAAATAATAATAGTTCAGTAGTCATTCACAATAGTACGAAAGGAGGATGGAACAATTAGCAAACAAACATAACAAAAAGGACAAAAAAAAAAAGGAACAGATTGTAAAATGCAGTTCCTCTCATAGAAAAGCCTCAATTTGTTAAATTTATATACGAATTCATATCGATCGGACTCGTCATCATAGTTCGTTCATCACCGACAAACAAGCAAATTCAAGGACAAAATTCCCAGATACTTGCACAATAAATAACAGGAAAAAAAAACAGAGATAACGAAGAGAAACTTAAGGAAATTATTGGGAGCAAAACAAAGGGAAAACGCAAGAAGATGATTGGGCACATAAGACTAACTATGGATACCTGAAATTCGAGGATCAACTTCTAGATTTCGCCAATGATTGATCGGAAAGTGAACGGCGAGTATTGCAGGCGGTATGAGAGACTGTTACTTAAAATGGCTTCCCAATTGGATTAAGGTGGGCAAGACATCTCCAATCCTAGCTGCGTAGAATTTAATCAATCACCTATAAGCTCAGCTAAGTAGCAATCTGGAATCTTGTGTCATATTTTTAATAAGTTTTGTCGTTTGACCGGATAAATTTTAATTTATTTTTAATTCAAAAATAATTAGACTTGAAAATATTTATAATCATACCGAATATTTATGGTCCTTTTTAATAAAATTAATTATGTTTTAATATTATTTTTTATTGTTGACTTGATTTACAAGTTATAATTTTTTTTCCAATCTTTCTTTTTTCTCATATTTCTTTTAAAATTATAACAAATTTACTAACTTAAATTATAAATATATTTAAAAGTTAATAATTTTTTTATTTATTAACAATTTTTTTTATATATAATATCAAATTAATCATGTCTTGATGAACTTTGATTTGACATCTATATTATATATACAAAATAATTGAATAATTTTACTTATATTTTTAGTTAAAGTTAAATTACCATTAATATTATTTCGAAAAAATATAATTATTTAAACTAACTTATCTACAAAGTAGTTATCTAATATAAATTAGAAAAATATAAATATAAGATCATAAGTCGTGTAAGTGACGGTGTCAATTTATATATAAATAATAATATATTTTTCAAAAAAGTATTTTAAAACTAAAACAATTTTTGTTGTTATTATTATTTAGTTTTAAATATAATTTTCTTTACAAGTACCATGTAGTACACGGGTATTATACTAGTGTCGATATATTTAAGATAATACCGACTTTTTTCTCCGTGCATTTCTCTATCAGAAATATTAATACAACATAAAATTTAGACAATTATAAATTAAAATTTTAAATTATTTAACAAAATAATAAATTTGTTATTGTATACTTTGTCACAATAATAAATAGAAATAAATTCATTTAAAAATAAAAATAAAAATTGAGAATAAAATGTGGCGCGATGAAAAATACCGCGTTGTTTGAATTATTGTTCAACATCTTGAGAATAGTACGAAAATTCAGTCCATAACAAAAGTTTTACACTAATTGCATTGTACAGTAGAATAGAGTTGCTCTCAGATCATCTCTTTTATCTACTTTAGTGTAGAGTTGACTCCACTATAGAGTAGATAGTGCCAAATTTAACTTTCATCTCCCACCGTTCGCACTACATTTTACTGTATATGAAATATTTAGTACAAAATAAAATTTAAATACAACTATAAATCAAAATTCTAAATTATTTAACAAAATAAATAATTTTATTGATTTATATTTTATCAAAATGATATTTAAAAATAAAAATCAATTAAAATATAAAATTTGAAGGAAAAAAAATTGTAGCACAATGTATAGTTCAGTACTACATGTAGCGCAATATTGTTCATATATTCAGAGCAGTGCGAAAAATATAGCGCAACATTGAATCAAGTTTTTCGCACTACTCTTGAGTAGAGTAGAAATGTCGCGCAGGACTGGAGAAGCTCTTAGCCCCTCCTATCCAGCCGCTTAAATGGACCAAAATGCCATTGGTCTTGCTTTGGATTGGACTCTTTCTGGAAAACTCCGCCCAACGATTTCAGTGGACCTAACTGACACTCGTTGAACTTGGGCTGTAGTATAATTTTTCGGTATTCTAAAATTCAACCTGCCTGCTTTGTATTTAAGCGCCACCATTTTTGTCTTGCCATACCTTTTTGAGCATCTTCAATGGAACATTGTTCATTTTGTGTTGTATGGCATGAGAAAGAAAATTAAACAATTGTATCTCCAATGATTAGTGATAATTATGATATCATTTGTGATGTATAAAATTGTAATTGGTTGGAGAAGAGAGATAAATTGAATAGGCAATATAATATATAATAGAAGTTGTTTATAATGGCTTTTAGCCTTCTACATCTAGAAAGACTTCTAGACATATTTAATGACACATAGGATAATTTGAGCCATGTGGCAACAAAATAGAGTAACGGCAAGACCATTAAAAATGCTCTTAGGCACTCAATCGATTAATGCGAAGTTAGTTAAGATTAGATGCTTTTTATTTCTTAATTATAAATAAAATATAATTTTATACTTATATGTTAAATATGCATGAATTATAAAATTTAAAAAAAAAATAATTCCATTAAAATTAAATAACAGTAAAATATATTTTATTTTAAATAATTTTTGTATTCAATCATATTAATTAATATATTTCATATTGTATAACTTGTATATTATGTTTAAAAATAACTATAAATAAATAAATTTATACTTTAAAAACCTTGGTTTTCATTTTTCAAATTTATTAAATAATTTTTTAGTTATTTGATCCTTTTACCCTTTTTTTTTATTTAACTATAGTTAAATTTTTTAGAGCATCTCCAATGCCTTTTCATTGCTTTCTTTTGTTGTCACATGTCACAAATAATCCTATGTGACATGAAAAATGTCAAGAAGACTTTCTAGATGTAGAAGTCGTTCTAAACGACTTTTAATCTATATTATATTATTTATTCATTTTATCTCTCTTCTCCAACAATTATAAATTTATACATCACAAATGATATCACAATTAACATTATTAACCATTGAAAACACAATTTCTAATTTTCTTTATTCATGTCATACAATACAAAATGGACAATGTTTAATTGAAGATACTCTTACTGCATGCGATTGGCTGATGTCAAAGGTCGACATGCCGAATGCCCCACCAATATAAATCCATGCTTAAA